ACATATACAAAATTATAAGTCACAATTTATGTATTGATCACATATTATTAAATTAATTGATTACAATTTATTTGTCGGTCACAGAGTTGTAAATTGGTTGGTCACGAATTATTTTTTCAGTCACATATTACTAAATTTTTAGATCACAATTGAATAACTTGTCACAGACAACCAAGTAATTAGTCACATACACCAAATAGTGGTCACATACCATCGTCGCCAACACTACCACCATCGCATCCACCCGTCGCAACGCCACAGCCAGATCCACCACCATCCCCGTCACTGTCGCCTCCACCACGACAGCACCACCACCAACACTAACACCACATCACCACCACCAAATCGTCGTTATGCCAAATCCAGTCAACTGTCAACAAAAACCACAACCACCACCACCATTGAATCTCCAGCCACCACCACCACTATTGCACTACCACTACCACCATGACAAACCACGTCACACCACCCAACAAAAAATCCCAAACCCATCATCGCCACCTCACCTCCACCCGTCGCAACGCCACAGCAAACACACACATATATCCACACCCCAACAAAGATCCATTGCAAATCGCGCACAGAGGCTCCGGTGCAGATCGCCACAAAGCGCAACTGTTGCGTTTTCGCGCGAAGAGGCTCGGGCTTGCTTCCGTGGTGGCGACGACGTCACAGAGAAGGCGGGGTGGGAGAGAGGAGAGGAGGGGAGACGAGACGAGACGAGAGAGAGAGAGAGAGAGAGAGAGATGAGGGAGTAGAGTGACAAATTAAGGTTATCAATTAGGTTTTAATATAATACCTGATTTTTGAATAAATAATATTTGGACCTGATTTTTAAAAAGCAGTTTTTAAATACCTGGATTTATATAATTTTCCCAAACAAAAATTATCTAGGCCCTTGTTTTAGCCCATTTTGGGGGAAAATATTTTTTTTTGAATAATAATTTTTTTTTGAGAATGTGTTGTTAAAAATTAAAAAAAAAAAATTAATTTACGTATAAAATTATTTTATTGAAGTGAATGAAAATAAGTTTAAAAAAAATTACTTTTTATAAAATCAAGCTCGAGCAAAATTTTCTAACTATTGAAATTAAAATATCAATTTAAATGATATTGATATAACATTAAGCACATATTTGACAACCAATATTTGAAACTATTTTCTACATATTTATTTTCAACCAGACATTCGTAATATAGCCTATGTTTGGCCACCATTTTTTTTTACAAAAAAACTCATTTTAAATTCTAAATGTATATTGTTGTTTACATTAAGAATTACACTCTCCCTATGTGTCAAAATACGACCAATGATATAAAGGGGTGTTGAAAAAATTAAAGGCTATGAATGGGTGTCATGTGTAGGATGGCAAAAAAAATCGTTCAACCAGATATCAGTGGGGCCCGTCCCAAATGTGGCGGGGATGCCCGCCTAACCAAGTAAACGAGGGAGGATGGGGCGAGGGTCATTTCATTTAAAAAAAAAAACATAAGTTACTTTTAACAAATTAATAAAAAAATAATAATATTTACTTACTAAACACATGAAAAATAAAAGTAAAAAATAAATGAGATGATAAATGAGGGCAAATGACCTAATGTCCCCCTGAACTCGTCATGTTTCGCTTTAACCGAGTATGTAGATAGGTAATGTAACAAAAATATCCAACGGAATGGGGGTGAGAATGGCCCACCCGTCCTATATCAGCCTCGTTGTCTTCCTTATTCATGTGGAAGAATGTCAAAGTTAATGTAAAAAAACAATGTATGTATAGCATGTTTGTTTTTAAAACTAATTTTCAACCACATATTTTCCCATAAAATAATATTACACATAAATCGAAAAAAATTTCCAAAATTCATTTTTCTCAAATTCTCGTTAAAATGGAGCCCGACAATGACATAATATTTTGCATGTAAATTCAATTTTTTTCCCTATTTTTTAACCATGCATTTTTTCTAAAAACACTGTTCAAAATATTATTTTTCTTAAATAATGGTCATCAAACTGGGGCCAAATTATAGGTACAATTAAACAAATCACTTAATTTTGTCTTTCGTTTAGCCTATCATATTAAGTCATCTTGACTGATGTTGTGGCGGTAGTGGTGTTAGATAATATTATTCAAATTTTCAAGATAGAAATTCGATGAATAAATGAATAATTCTTGTAGATTTAATAAAATTTGACGATTTACAAATAATTTATAAATTTTGCAAAATAAGAGGCTGAGTTTACAATATTCTTCCATTTTAGACAAAAAATTATATTTCATCAATCCCAATTATATATGCTGGATTTCCTTTTTCTTTTGTCCCAAATATATAGGCATGTTTTTTAATGTAGAATATTTTGTTGTATTCTTTTACCAATATACCCTTATTAAATTTTCTCCACTTAATATGCTAATTTCTTGAAATCATCCAAATACACACATTTCACATTTCTTGAAAACATGAAACAACTCTC